CAAGCTGTTCAACCAGGCTGCATTCTTATGATGAAGGTACTATCCTGCAAGCACAGATTTACCAGAGAGTTAATTTTTCCTCAGCTTCCACCACCATTACTCAACACAGTATGCATACTCCCCATCTATGACCTATCAGTAGTCTTCATAAGCTCCCTGCAGGCAATGTAATTGAATCCAGCTCCATTCTCGAGCACCTACAAAGAATATGCGTAAATACTTCAGCCCGACCCTTAGGCAGAAATTACTCAAACATGAAGCCCCATCAGAACATCCACAGAATGAGGGTGAAGGGATAAGAAACTCCAGTATCTGTAACTCGTGGAACCTCACTAAGGTTATACATGAAGAAGGAAGGCTCCAGATCCCACACCTGACAGATCTGCTTAGAAAGGGAAATCTAATCCCTAAGAAAAGCTCCCCTCGGCAGTGTAAACCTGTCCTTTTAGTACTAAGTGGAGTGAAATGATCTCTATAAGCACGTGCTTGTTTTCAAGGAATGTGCCAAGGAGTTGTTTGCCAGGAAAGCTTCTTTCATCCTTCCCTACTTACTGCTATACCAGCAGGGAAAGTGACCCGTATACTGCCACGATGATGCAATGGAAATAATTATACAAGATCCTACAGAGTGAAAACAAAGACCACAATAGGGCACTGCCTTTTCTTTTACTTCTAAAGAGAAGCAGAACAAAGAATTCATTGCAAAGAATCCTGACAATATTTAGTATTAATTACCTGTCTACTGAGTTCTTCTCTAAAGTGGATATGTTGTTAATGGAGCAACAATGAACCTAACAGCCCTGTATTCCTATTCAGGAAGAGCATTGCATGCATTGCCACACCCCCATCAATTCTAGATTTTAGCCAAATATTACCCAGCAAAAAATCACCTCCTATTAACAAAATGCTTTTGTATTAAACAGCAAGTTTATCTATACTAATCAAGTATATGTTCTCGCTCAATTTGTGTATATGAAGGAGTACAACTACAGTTAATGGACTGCAGTCTATCTGCAATGTTGCTGCTAAAAGCCTAATCATTCCTCATTTTCTGTACTTCCAGTGATATTCGTCTGTCTGCGTGAAGTTCAAGTTTCTTGTTCTTCTCTTCAAAGACCTTCACTGTTTAGTCTTCTACTCACCTGCTTTCATCTTAACATACTAATCTTCCTAATCTACTTCTCCCACAGAGATCCTTCTGCCCTCTTTTATTCTACTTATCCTAAGGTGGGGATATACTCAGAACTTATTTGCAAAGCCACATAGCACCTTCTACAACAAATCCTCAGTCAGACCTGACCTAATCTGAGAACTCTTTGTCCAATATAGTCCTACTACAGATTTATCTATGCAGATACAAAGAGCTGTGGCTCGTGCAGTTTACAATATTATTGCAATTAGTAAACGGGGCTGAGGGGGGGAGGGGGTGTCAAATAAAAATAGAGGAAGTGCAATTATCATAAAAGTTTGGATGTCCAAGACTGCTGGGTAAAAAGGTGTTATTAACATGTAAACTCTGTGACTAAACCTACCTGGACACCATGTCTCTTTTACAGCACTGAAACAAACAGAATAAAAAAGTCTTCAGGAGCAAGAGTGCGAGAACAGGAGCCTGCTGAGTCACACAGGCTGCAAAGGTCTAGTTTGACTAACCTGATCTCCTTCTATGACAAGGTGACCTGCTTAGTGGATGAGGGAAAGGCTGTAGATGTTGCCTACCTAGACTTCAGTAAAGCCTTTGACACCATTTCCCACAGCATTCTGGAGAAACTGGCTGCTCATGGCTTGGACAGGCGTACTCTTCACTGGGTAATAAACTGGCTGGAAGGCTGGGCCCAAAGAGTTGTGGCGAATGGAGTTAAATCCAGTTGGTGGCCGGTCACAAGTGGTATTCCCCAGGGCTCATCATTTGGGCCTGTTCTGTTTAATATCTTTATCAATGATCTGGACGAGGGGATCAAGTGCACCCTCAGTAAGTTTGCAGACAACACCAAGTTGGGCAGGAGTGTTGATCTGCTTGAGGGTAGGAAGGTTCTACAGAGGGATCTGGACAGGCTGCATACGCTGAGGTCAATGGTATGAGGTTCAACAAGGCCAAGTGCCGGGTCCTGCACCAACCCCGTGCAGTGCTACAGGCTTGGGGAAGAGTGCCTGGAAAGATACCTGGCAGAAAAGGACCTGGGGGTGTTGGTCAACAGCTGGCTGAATATGAGCCATCAGTGTGCCCAGGTGGCCAAGAAGGCCAACAGCATCTTGGCCTGTATCAGGAACAGTGCAGCCAGCAGGACTAGGGAGGTGATGGTCCCCCTGCACTAGGCACCAGTGAGGCCCCACCTCCAATACTGTGTTCTGTTTTGTGCCCCTCACTACAAGAAGGACATTGAGGTGCTGGAGTGTGTCCAGAGAAGAGCAACAAAACTGGTGAGGGATCTAGAGAACAAGTCTTATGAGGAACATCTGAGGGAACTGGGGTTGTTTAGTCTGCAGAAAAGGAGGCTGAGGGGAGACCTTATCGTTCTCTACAACTGCCTGAAAGGAGGTTGTAGCGAGGTGGTTGTCAGTCTCTTTTCACAAGTAACAAGTGATAGGGCAAGAGGAAACAGCCTCAAGTTGCACCCAGGGAGGTTTAGATTGGATATTAGGAAAAATTTCTTCACTGAAAGGGTTGTCAAGCATTGGAACAGGCTGCCCGGGGAAATGGTGGAGTCACCATCCCTGGAGGTGTTTAAAAGACATGTAGGTGTAGTGCTGAGGGACATGGTTTAGTTGTGGACTTGGCAGTGCTAGGTTAACAACTGTACTTGATGATCTTAAAGGTGTTTTCCAACCTAAATGATGCTATGATTATATAATTAATTTATTATAAAGTGGAACATAAGCTGCAGCAACATAGTGCTAAATTCTTCATCCCAACTCACTCGCTTTTAACAAGAGGCTCCCTCAATCTGTAACAAAGGTATACAGTACACTCCTATGCTTTCAATCTCGGTATCTGCAAAACAGGTAATGGTTCACTCCTCTTGATGAATACACAAACACCAATTAGCTACCAGGCATTGTATAACAATATCCAGGGCAGAGTAACAGCACTCTATAAAGCATAAGGGACTTACTTAAAAGGTAGATTAATCAGCAATCACACTGAATTTCAGTAGAACAGGCAGGGTTTCACTTTAAAAGATAAGAAAACTAGGCATTCCCATTAACATAGGTCCACAGACGCTGATTAGATGTCTACCTCCTAATTAGGAACCTAGCTTGCAAAAAAGTCAAGAGAAACAACACTTGCAATCAAAGCAAGTTAAGAGACAAGAATTCCATTTCCTTTTTAGCTGGAGGGTAGTTTTTGGAAGGACAGTTAGCTGTATGAATCTGGAGTTAAGCAGCTAAAACAGGCATCCAGAAGTTCTGGGCATTGTCTCAAAAAACAAGTAGACACAACTGCACATTTAACTAGAGACTTATTTTGTTCTCTTTCATTTCAAACATGCCTAGGAATCTGATCAAACACGAGGAAAAAGTACTTCAATCTTTTGTTGCAAAACAAAACGTACTGGAGGTGATCAGTGTTGTGCACTAACCATAATCCTGTAAAATCACAAGCCACAAAAATAAGTGCATAAGCAAACTGCATTTACCAGCTTCTATTCAATGCCAAGTCCTGAAACATCTATTCCTTATATATTCCTTACATATATTAATTTCTACACTTTAACTTGACAGGATTTCTCACTTGAATGCTTATGATTTACAATGTATTTTCCTTCTAATTTACCAGAACTGTCTTTTTATCGGGGGGGGGAGGGGAAGAGGGAGGATTTAACTAAAGCTGTTTCCATATGTTTTGAGCTCTAAGCTTGAGAACATAGATTTGGAACTGTACAATGTTTTGTTATTGGGCAGGTTAGCATAAATCCCCCGTGCGGTGTATATTGACATAATAATTCCAAGGTGCGTCAGCAGGATACCTCCTATGAGTCAAGCAAGCAGCATGTAGCAAGATGCTCTTTTCCAACATTATAACTAGAGTCTACACTCAAGAGGTGAAGGATATGTCACTGTTTTGTCCCCAGTAGATAACAATAGCTTTGTGGCAAATTCTACTCACCTTACTCGTTCACGAGAGTTATTGTCTCACATTACTCTCAAACAAAAGAAGAGATCAACTATTTGTAATGCTTCCACCTTTTCAGCAAGGACACAACTTGCTCCTAGGAAATGCAGACTGAGCCAGATCTCACCCACAGTGTGAGATGCGCACACCCCAATTCCTGCCTCGCACCATGCAGCAGCAAGCCTGCACGTCACAGAGTTACAGCACTGCGCTGTGGTCTCTTTCCCATTCTCCGACATCATGTGCCAGGCTCTGTGGATTACAGAGCTTGGAAAAGGTTTCTACAGTGTCCTGTGGTTGAAGGCATGCTACATATGGAGGCTCTACCGTACCCCCTTCTCCTTCTGAGAAAGGAGGTATCTCTATTTCCCAGCCACATAGGTCTCAACTCAGGAAAATAGAAATTTGAGAGGTCTGACCGTAGGATTAGATAAAGTTCACAGTGACTCAAGGGTGAAATCCTAGCCCTAGTGACATCAACAGAAAAGCTCTCACTGACTTGAGGGCCAAGATTTCAGTCCATATCCCAAACTAAAGTGTTTTTTTTAAGCCGATGAAATTCAGGCTCTGATCCTGTAGGAGATTTACACACCTTTCACTTCACATACTGAGCAGTTCAAATTCACCTCAACCATTAACATCAAGTAAAGTGACGCTTGTCGGTAAGTTGTTGTGAGATCTAGTCCGTAATTGTAAATACAAACTTAAGATCTTACACTGTAGTGAAAAGTTTGAAACAGCACAAAACCAACTCCATTGTAAAAGAAGTAGCATCAACTCTTCCACATTTACATCATACTCTATGAAACACACGACAGTAGAAGAACAAATTCTCCAGTATGATTCTGAGGGTTGCTTGCTTTGGGTTTTCTTTCCTTCTACTTACTTTTGTCTGATCATCAGCTTTAAATACATAGCAGATACTTCGCTGATTTGCTGCTCCATCCTTTATCAGACAAGCAAAGTAGCTTGGATCATGGCTGTTGTGAATCAGTTTGTGGACGTGCTGTGGCTTGTATTCAAACAAACTTGAATAAATCAAAGGATCCCACTGCTGGATTTTCCCTGTGTCTGGTTCACATCGCAAACTTGCTGGTGAAACGTAAAGTCGTATTTGGCTGACGCTAGGTTCTTCTTTGGAAGACTTTGTACTGAGCCTGCGGATCTCTGCCACAATCCAAGGCAGCATTGACATGGTGGTTAGGGAATGCACTGGCAGAGAACCAACGAGCTGGAGACTGAAACTTGCTGAGAAATCACTAGGTGTTTGATACTTTTTAACTTTGAATGTTATTGGCTCCATTTTACAGTCCTTTAGGGAACCTGGACTAATTCACCAATATTTCAGTTCCATGGAACGATGATATCTGGACGGTTCTTTTCATCAAGGAACAGAAGAGTTCTGAAAGGAAAAGAAATAGTTATGTAGGTGCTGGAACCCTATTAAAAATGAACTGTCAGTAACACAAATATTTAATAGCTCAACATCAGAAGAGACATACTGATCATCTACCATGACCTACCTACCGGGTTCCACCTACATTGGGCCTTACTGTTTCAGGTCCAACAAACATCATAGTACTAAATACATTGCTTGGACAAAAGTCAGTCCAGATTTAAAAGTTGCTTTACGACCCTTGCTAAACCACCTAATGAGTAACTAAACTCAAAAATGCACATTCTTTCTAGCCTGTGTCTGTTTCATGGGCAGGCACATGTGGATCACTATTCCAATCCTACTATCGCAGAAGGAACTCATCTGAGCTATTCTGACTTTCACAACAGTTGAAGCCAGGGATTGCTGACACACCTTCACATGTGAAAAAAAAAAAAAAGAAAGAAAAAAGAAGGTCATCTTTCTTGTTCATAGGTGGATGATTTTGAATTTGGCTACTAACACGGAGTTGTGTCCTTGGGTATAGTCTGCCAAGTGATCATGGGCTGTTGCCAACCAGACTTTTTCATTAAATAACACCCCAGAAATTGTTGTCATCTGAAAAAGCTAGCAGTAGTCAACTGACTGATTGCTGATAAACCTGTCAGATAGCAGAGATGAGCAACAATCCTTACAGCATCCCACTAAAAAACAGATGATGATTCACAATTCACGATTGCATTTTAAGACCTGTCAGCCAGCCAGCAATACTTAATGTTTGCCACATTGATATTGTATCATTTTCATTTCTTAAAATATCAAATGGAACCAAGTTACGCACAACCTCTTATAACCCTGTTATACGCAGCATCTACTACCACTACTGTTACTACATATAAATAGTTTTAGTAACAAAATCCAATAATTTCATTTATCTATCAATTTCGTTTTGTAAAATAGAGTCTATGAAAACTCACAGATTGGCATTTGTTATGCTACCATGTTTTAACTCCTCATTAATTGAACCTGGTTTCAGCTGTTACATTATTTTGTGCGAGACTGATGAGAAGCTGACAGGCCTATAATTGCCTGTGTTTAAATACCATGACACTAGTTTACCCCCAGCCTTCTGAGAGTTTCCCATGAAAAGACCTATTAAAAACAACATGAGCAGTCCCAAGAACTCCTTACAAAGCATTTTTAATTATATTTGAACAAGTATTTAATAAATGGCATCTGTTTACTGTGGCAACAGTATTTCTTGTCTTTGTTCATCTACAAACATAATCAAAAATAGCAGTATTCTTCTCATGAGTTTTCATTAAACTTTGTCCTTTATTTGTCCTTGTAAAAATATTTTGAAACTGAGTTTCTAACAGTGCTTCACCTTGTTGAAAATGAAGGGAAATTTTAGTATTTAAAAAAACTTTTTAAAAAGTTTCAGTACGGAAATTCGTTTTGAATTAAACAAGTGTTTAAAATACAACCAATTTGTACATCTCTGAGTGGGGAAAAATGTTTCTGCAGTAACTGGCAAACTGTAAAAACAAGAGAACTGATCTCTGAGTGGGGAAAAATGTTTCTGCAAACTGTAAAAACAAGAGAACTGCAGAAACCACATGTTTGCGTACATTTACTTTTTTGGAACTTGATGCATCTTTTGACAAATGAACTCTGTGGCAATGTTACCAGTTCCAAGGATGCCAAATTCAGCAAGAGAATCCAGCAGTGCAAGTTTTAAAGACACTATTTGAAGAAATCATCACAAGCAGTATTCTAGGTGTGTAAAACAATTTTTTTTAAAAAGCCTTTTTATAAAACTCTGTGTGTGTCTGCACGTGGGAGGTGTGGGGAAAAGGGCTATGAAAATCCAGAATTTGCACGCCTCATTTCAATTATATGACAACTCCTTTTCAATTATTTTTTGTTTCAAAACAAGCAAAAAAACAACTGTCTTTAAGATGAACATAAATGCATTGCATTGTATGAGAGCAGCTTCAGGAAGCATTTTTCCACCTTATCAACACAGACTCCTAAACACAATATCATTACAGTTTTGCATCTGTCAGGAACCAAAATGGTCTCTTCTTCTTTGACAAACCGTGGCAAATTTTTTCTCCTTAACTGCAACAATGCAAAATAGTTCAGCAACTGCAGGGATGATTGGATTCATTCGTAACTACAATGGTGTGTAGTCCAAAAACACATAAAAATTGAGTTTTTAGCTTTTAGTGTTCTTGTCATTTAGTGACATACATAATAATTTCAGGATAAGAAAGCCTAAGAAAACTCCATTCTTAGTTGAAAACCGGAGAACTGAGCTACCACACAGGCAATGACCTATTAGCCACACACTTTTTGTAACCATATTTCTCAATTGTGTTTTTTCAGAGCTCTTTTAAAAAAAAAACCCAATTTAATAAAATGCATGTAAAAATACAACAGTCATCCTCATTTAAATCAACTTTTCAAGGAAGAGGAGCTTCATGTGGATTACCACCATCTACTCTTTTACCCCAGACCTTCAAGGCACTACAGCTTCGAATAGGAATAAATATCATAGCATAATACATTACTTTGCATGCTTACTCTAAGGACGGAACAGTATTTAAAAAAAACAGGTTGATACTCTGTCATACTTCAACAAACACTGTACTGCTGGAATGCCTTTAATATAAATGCAATGTTTCTTGGCATTCATCTCTTTTTAACAAAATAAACACCTTAAAAAGTCAACAGCATAAATACTCCAATGTCTGCATTTGTTATTTCTAAAGAAAAACAGTTAATACTAAATCAAAACAGTTAACTACAAGTCAGAATGCTAGTTTTTTTCCCTAACATTAAGAGGGGCTAAAAGTGCAGTTTCTCAGAGCACTAATTTAGCAGCATCAGAAGGTTTCCTTAACTAACCCATATCGTTCTGTACATCACCGTTCTGCATGTTTCATCTCCCTTTTCCAGCCATTCTTTGCTTCCTCCTCCTGTCATCCTTATCTAAATTTACACACAAATCCCACCAGAAATTATACCGTTTTCATGCTGCTGGCGTTAATGTCCTTTAAGTTTACATCAAGGACTAAGTTTTACTTCAAGACCATGAAGTATTTATGTACATGCTTAATTTAGACCTAAAAATAGTTCTGCTCATCTCAACAGGCCTATTCCTAGCCAGAAAATGAAGCACACGTTACAATCACAGAGTGTCCGTGCTCCGAGCTCGTCTCTGTCTGCCCTGACTCCACCACTTGGAATTTTGGCACCTTCACCCATCTCTGATTGCCACCACTCAGTTCATCCACTCTGAAACTTGGCTCTGCAGGCACTGTACCGGTTTACCATCCACATTAGTACGGTAGGCTCAAACAAGCTTCCTCTTCCTCCCAAGTGTCTGACTGATTAACTCACAAACAACTTCTTCAAAGTAAATGCTTGTTTTACCTTCAACCCAAGAAAGAATAAAAAAGGTATAAAAATAAAGCCACCCACTTGTTTCCTTCCACCTAAACTTTGATCTTCCCTTGACAGCTCTAAGTGTCACTCAGCTCCGTTACTCTGGGCTGGGAGAAGGCTGCCAGGCTTTGCTCCACACACAGGCTGAATGCCTCCGGCGGTTCTCCCAGTGCTCACGGACATAACTGGGACAGCTCCTCTTCTTCCCCTCCGTCAGCATCTTCTGAAGGATCTCTGCTGCCCTTGCACTCAGAGCTGAGAAGAGCTTGAGTGGCTCTCCTCAGCTAACAGCTTTGCTGCCCTCTGAGAAACGTTAACATTCTCCAAACTGTACCTTAATGTTGCCACTGTTTAACCTGCTCTGATTTAGCTGTATTTGCTCCATCAGCATAAAAACAGCCAGGCAAACTGTAGCACATACGGTATTTACACAAACCACACAATAAATCTAACCCCACCTTCTATACCAGGAGACCCCAGACTGACTTGCTAATGTGAAAGATACACATGGGAACATACGCGTGCTCTTTGTCCTCAACTTCTCTTTCACTGTGATCAATCCAGCTGCTTCTCACAAGTGGGGAGCAGGCTTAGAAAGCATGCAGCACTACGCCGATAGTCCTGTTCTAGCAAAATCTGATGCTGTGTTTTAAAAAAATATATATGCATATGTATATCAGGCTCTTGTTCTCCCAAATTAAGTTATGTTCTCATCTTCTTATGACACCAGAAACTAAAAGGGACGCCTTCAGTGAGAAGTCAGGGTGATGGCAGGACAGCACGAAAGGCACAGCTACACAAATTAGCACTTCTGCCACTCCAGACCCCAGGTTCTCCCTGCATGAAGGTACATGTCTAAGCAGCTGTGCATCATGCGGGACAGCATTCCTCAAAACTCACCTTCTCTCAAGAGAGCAAAGATTTTATCATGAGGGCAAGGTACAGGCTCTGGGTGCTATTTGGTCAGATGGGGCCAGGTCACCTTTGAGGTTAGAAAGGAGAATCTTGTGGGGTACAGAGACGGACTGTGGGGTGGGGTACTGGAAATCAGGTTTTGGCAGCTGTGGGAAAAGCAGGCAGATTTGGGATGGACTGAAACTAATACAGAAAAAAAGGCAAAGGAGGGAGAGAGAGTGTTCTAAACCAAAAGAACACATATAAAATTTAAAAAAAAAAGTACAAAAATTAAAAAAAAAAAGCTGAAACTAAAACAGGGGTGAAGAGTTATCCTTCTTCTGTTGTTTCTTCTGGACTGGACTAAATTCAATACAGACATGCAGCCAGAAGTTTCAGGCTCTTGTTCAGAACATATGTAACTATTGAGCTAAGCAATCCTCCACTCTACTCCAGCTCTTCCCCTGGTTTGGTAGCAATTGGAGTGCTGGGACCCACAGGAGAACTGACAAGTTTAGAAGATGCTTCAAGCAAGGAAGCAGTTACAGTTTCCGCACATCAGTGATTAAATAAGAGTTTGACCTGAGAGTTGCTGAACAGAAAGACCCTGGCTTCCTCAACCTTTGCAGTTCGTCTGAGAGACAGCTGTGCAGTTACTCTGCATCAGGCTGCTGACACGACAG